GTACATTGGACACAAGAACCAAATTAAAGAGTCCCCACTGGCCAAAGCTAGAATAGTTTGAGCAAGAAAATAGCCAAAGTAATAATGGACTATTACCCAAAGGATACTAAATATCCACAAGTACCTATTGATATAACGATTGAGTATGTTTGTCAGTTGTGCCCCAATAAAACTGAAAAAAAAAAGTGAATGAATGATTTGAATGAAATAACTGGAGGGAGAAGAAAAAAATCTTTGCAAACGAATTCCAAATAGTTGCTGTTGCTCTTCCGCACTCAGGGAGGTGAAGCTGACTTCCCACTCCTTACTCAGGGGAGGCAAATACAAATTCTTTCCAAAGAGCACAGTGTATACAGTGGGGGGGGGGGGGGTAGAAATGGGTAAATTTACAATGAAGAAACTTTGAAAAACAGTGCCAACCAGGTGATCAAGGTCAACACCAACAATCATAAATCACGCTGATCACAGGCAGCCCTGGAATGATAAAAATGGCACTTCTGTGACCTTCCCTTGCAGAGCTTGAAATTGCAGTCAGGTTAGGAGAAAAACAGACAGATCCCAACTGAGGGACCGTCCACAAAGTACTCAAAAAACCTTGGGCATCAAAAACAAGGAACGTCTGAAAAATGTCACAACCCAGAGGTGCATAAAGACACACAGTGAACAAATCCTATGTAGTATTCGGGATGAAATCCTAGAACAGAAAAAAAGACATTAAATAAAAACTAAGGAAATCTGCATGAACTGTGGAGTTCAGTTTATTGTAGTGTTGTCAATATGAATTCATTGCTTAAAACAAATGGACCATACTAAAATAAAATATTAACAGCAGGTGAAACTGGGTGTGCATTATATGGGAACTCTATATACTCACAATGTTTCTGCAAGTCTAAAAGTACATATTCTAAAAGAAAAATTCACTTTAAAAACACTAACAGAAAATGGAATATGCTATAATGAGAATAGTGCCAGAATAAAAGTATATGAACAGCACAGGGGGAGAAAAGTGGTTAAATAAAAAAATTTTCAAAATGCCCCCCCAAGTTTCTTCTATTTACTTATTTTATTTGAGAGGCAGACACACACAAACACAAACACGCACACACACACACAAACACACACACACACCACTGAGAGAGAGAGACAGCGAGAGAGCGCTCCCATCTACTGGTTCACTCCCCAAGTGCCTGCAGATGCTGAGACTGGGCCAGGCTGAAGCTTGGCGCCAGAAACTCAGTCTGGATCTCCCACCAGTGGCACGAACCCAAGTATTTGAGCCACCATCTGCAGCCTTCTAGGGCATGCATTAGCAGGAAGCTGGCATGAGCAACTAACACCAGCACTTGAATCTAGACACTCTAACATGAGATGTGGGCCTCCCAACCAGTATCTTAACCACTAGGCCATAAGCCAACCCCTCAAAAGTGTTCAACTCAAAAACATATCAAATGTTCTTATATTTTTGTACCCTGTCTTTGAATGCATCCATATGTGTAATGTAAGTATTTGGGGAATTTTAACATGAAATGATATAACATACATAATTACTGATGCTTAACTTCAGTCTTTATAAAGACCAAATCAAATCCTTTGATTTTTTTAAATAAAAAGTAAAGAAACGACTATTAGATCTGGTGGAATATAGAAAGCACTCCATATTTAATAACCTCCTCTCTTCAACATTTAGTCTCAGACATAAATAACCTTCTGGGTATCAATTATTTCAGGGAGATCTCCAACGTTTATGGAAGATGTATATTCTGAAAAAACTATATATGGATTCCAAAAGTCTCTTGCACCAAAATCAATTTTTTAAAAAAAAAGAGATTTAATTATTTGTTTTGAAAACAGAGTTACAGACAGGGAGAGACAGAGACAGAGATTTTCTATCTTCTGGTTCACTCCCCAGATGGCCTCAACAGCCAGCACTGGGCCAAGACAAAGTCTGGAGCCAGGAGCTTCATCCAGGTCTCCCAGATAGGTGGCAGGGGCCAAACACTTGAGTCATCTTCCACTGCTTTTCCAGGGCCATTGGTAGGGAGTTGCATCAGAAGTGAAGCAGCCGGATCATGAACCGACGACACCCATATAGGATACCCATTGGGCCACAACCCCAGCCCCTAAGTTTACCTTTAAATTTCAATTTCACCATGAATTTTTAAGACAGTTGTATAAGTAAAGATTTTTTTTTTTTGACAGGCAGAGTGGACAGTGAGAGAGAGAGAGAGAGAGAGAGATACGGAGAGAAAGGTCTTCCTTTTGCCGTTGGTTCACCCTCCAATGGCCGCCAAGACCGGCGTGCTGCGGCCGGCGCACCGTGCTGATCCGATGGCAGGAGCCAGGTACTTATCCTGGTCTCCCATGGGGTGTAGGCCCCAAGTACTTGGGCCATCCTCCACTGCACTCCCTGGCCACAGCAGAGAGCTGGCCTGGAAGAGGGGTAACTGGGACAGAATCCGGCGCCCCGACTGGGACTAGAACCCGGTGTGCCGGCGCCGCAAGGAGGAGGATTAGCCTAGTGAGCTGCGGCGCCGGCCCATAAGTAAAGATTTTTAATGACACACTTACACTCAACATTCCACCTGGAGTCACACTGAACACTCATTCTTCATGTGATTTTTCTCAGAGTTCATTGTGCTAGTATCCCTCCCACTTTTTACAAGTTCAAAATCTTGGTCATTTTTCAAGTTCCACCTCAAGTATCTCCTCCGCGACTTCTCTTGTTCCCCAATCAGAATGAGTTTCTCATTTCTCTGAGCGTCATAGTGTATGCCCTTCTTAAACAAGTGTTAACCATTTGTTCACAGATGTTTCTCCCATTTGGATGTAAGCCTCTTAGGAGTAAGGTCAACACCATGGCCCCTAAAACTCTCAGCACAGTGTCTGACATTCACTCATTCAATCATTCGTTCATGAATCCTGCAACTGTTTATTCCATGCCTACCATTCCATACTAGTGAATAAACAAGAGAGGAAAAGCAGCAGAGAAAATTTAACAACTAATTCTTAATGTTGTAAGGAAATTTTTCTAGTCCAGGAAAACTCTGAAAAAAAAAAAGAAGAGCAAATACGTATACAAACCAGGTTTACTGAAAGCATAAATACAAACCTTATACCATAGAACTCATTTGCTTTATAGCCAGTTGACGATTTTTCTCTTCTGCTTTAACAGTTTTATCTGATCTGAGTCCCCTGTAGTTTGTATACAAAACGCTGGTAGACTCAGGGTGTGTGAAATAAATCTAATTAATGTTCATTTTCAAAAGAAAACATGAATGAGCTATAAGAATTTAGGGGAAATGAAAAGACTTTAGGGCAAAGACCCAGAGTCCAATTTACAACTTCAAGCAACCTACAAGGGTTCTTAGAACAAAACACTTACTCTCTTTTGAAATTTTCTGTTGAAGCAAAATACATTTCTGTCTCAGTGTATACCTTACAGCTAGATTTATGCAAAATACTGTTTGTGCATTGGGCCCTTGTGGAATACTTAGTTTCCTATTTCTTTAGCATGGATAAATTTAAATTCGATTTTTCAGAGCATCTGTGCTAATTTTTTTTTAGAAAAGTATTGCGGATAAGCAATTGCTGATAGGTCTATTTCAAGTTGATGTTGGTCTCGACTCTGGTCCTCTCTGTACCTGGCCTCCTGCTGCTTTTCAAGCACATCTCATGATCAGTCACCCACAGAATCCAGACATGACTTCTGATTTTCTTCAAGGATATTGAACAATTCACCTCAGATATGTTTAACTGTCAAAAACAAGTAACCTCACAAAATTAGTCTTATTCTATATCTATGTTTTAGAATCACAGAAAGCTATTAATTCTTAAGATTTCTGTATAAATATCTAACCTCCCTTGTGGATTTATTGTCTCGTTTCCAAGACCTTTTCTTCCAGTATATTATTCCCCATTCTCCTTTATCTCTTCCCAACTCTTCCTGAAAAGTCTGTTGCTTCACTCTGAGACCTGGTGGAACCCAGTAAGCCTTCCCCGACTCTAGGGAATTCAATCCATTGACTTAGCCAGGGACTGACTGCCGCTGCTATAATGGTTCCCATCACCTTTTTTTTTTTTTTTTTTTTTTTTTTTTTTGACAGGCAGAGTGGACAGTGAGAGAGAGAGAGAGACAGAGAGAAAGGTCTTCCTTTTGCCGTTGGTTCACCCTCCAATGGCCGCCAAGGCCGACGTGCCACGGCCGGCGCACCACTCTGATCCAAAGGCAGGAGCCAGGTGCTTCTCCTGGTCTCCTATGAGGTGCAGGGCCCAAGGACCTGGGCCATCCTCCACTGCACTCCTGGGCCACAGCAGAGAGCTGGCCTGGAAGAGGGGCAACCGGGACTAGAACCCCGTGTGTCGGCGCCGCAGGCAGAGGATTAGCCTATTGAGCCGCGGCGCCAGCTCCCATCACCTTTTAAGAAGTGCTAATCCATTTCCATTTTTAAGAGTAGAGCATCCTGAATCTATTGCAGCCCTGCTGGAGCTCTTCAATATGACACAGCCTTTCAAATGAGATCAATACAGTTCACAGGAAGCCACCACCATGGCCAGAGTTATTCTGGGATTTGTCTCTGTGGCCCCCACACAACCAAAAGGATGGCACCTGCAGTTCTTGGCACACCATCCCATTGCCCAGAAAGTGCCTGAGTTTCCTCCATCCATTTGTCTGTTCTTCCCAGATGTCCAATCGGGTGAAAATGATATGGTCTCTCCCTTCTTGCTGGGGAGAAAGTTTAAGCTTCCATGGGAGTTGCCTAGCCATTTCTCACACATTGTTCATTTAAATAAGAGAATGACGGATCGAACACAACCTGTTTAAAACATCTTCATTTAAATCTGTAGTCCATGTAATGGATCCACTCCCAAATACGTGATTGTTGGCCATTATTAGCTCATAGTCTAAAATCTTGAGATTTTCCAAGAATGCCTGCATGTCGAAGAATGAAGTGTAACCATGGAAAAACCTGAGGTTTAATAGTCTGTGTATTTGTTTCTAGATACAGTTAGGAGTTGCGTGGCCAAGTTGTTCTTCACCTGCTCCTTGAAGGGCCACTACTGCCTCTACAGCAAGTCTAGTTTTATCCTCATCAGCCAGGAACCTCAGTCGTGGATCCAGATCATGTTTCTGTTTCAGCAGGTGCGTATAAATCAGGCTATTTTGTGAGCTGGTGGAGTGGGAGTTTACACTCGCTTTTTTGATATACTAGCCCTTTGGTCAGAGTTGTGATGTAGAGTATTATACATTTACATTTAATTCATAATTTTGAACACAGATTCTCTGTATTTTAAGATAGTTTCCTGGAGTGGCTTTAAAAAAAAGATTTATTTGAAAGGCAGAGTTACAGAGAGGCAGAGGCAGAGAGAGAGAGAGAGAGAGAGAGAGAGAGAGAGATCTTCCATCCTCTGGTTCACTCTGCAAATGGCTGCAACAGCCAGAGCTGAGCCGATCCAAAGCCAGGAGCCAGGAGCTTCTTCTGGGTCTCCCACGTGGGTGCAGGGGCCCAAGGACTTGGGCCATTTCCTTTCCAGGCCATAGCACAGAGCTTCATTGGAAGTGGAGCAGCCTCATCTGACTGGCACTGCAGGTGGCAGCTTTACCTGCTAAGCCACAGCGTCGGCCCCCTGGGGTGGGTTTTTGGTCTAGTGGTTATTACACCAGTTGGGATGCCTGCATCCCATATCAGAGTGCTTGGGCTGCAGTCCCAGCTCCTCCACTCTCAGTTCCAGCTAACGTGTACTCTGGGAGGGAGCAAGTGATAGCTCATGTGGTTGGGTCCTTACTACCCATGTGGAGAACCTGGATTGAGTTCCTGGCTTCTTTCTTCAGGCCCAGTTGGGGGCCACTGCAAACATTTGGGGAATGAAACAGAGGATGAAGTCTCTCTCTCTCTCTCTCTCTCTCTCTCTCTCTCTCCCTCCTTTTCAAATAAATAATAAGCAAAAAAAAAAAAAGACAGTAGGCTCTATCTATTAATATATTGAGTATACTTAGCTTCCTTTGTTTAAAGATTTACCCATTTTATTTGAAAGGCAGAGTTTCAGGGAGAGAGGGAGAGACAGAGAAAGATCTTCCATCTGCTGGTTCATTACCAAAATGGCCTCAATGGCTGGAGCTGGGCCAGGAGATAAAGCCAGGAGCCAGGAGCTTCTTTGTGGTCTCCCACATCAGTGCAAGGCCAAAGCATTTGGGCCATCTTCAGCTGCTTTCCCAGGTGCATTAGCAGGGAATGGGATAGAAAGTGGAGCAGCCAGGAATCAAGCTGCCATCCATATGGGATTCTGGCTATGGCTTAACTCCTATGCCACAGTGCTGGCCCCTGTACTTAGCTGTTAAAAAGAAGAGTGAAAAGGGGGCTGGTACTGTGACACCCCAGGTTAGGTTGCCTGTTGCAATGCAGCCATCCCTTATCAGACAGCTAGTTTGGGTCTTAGCAACCTGTGAATTCTTGTAGGAAGGTGGCAGGTGGTGGTCCAAGTGCTTGGGTCACCCATGCCAGAGACCAGAATGGAGTTTCTGGCTCTTGTCTTTAGCCTGACCCTGTGCCTGCTATTGTGGCCACTTGGGGAGTGAAGATGTGGCCACTTGGGGATGGAAGGAAGATCTCTCTTGCTCTCTTTCACTCTCTCTCATTCTTGTTCTTGCTGTCTCTTTCCCTCTCCCTCTGATTCTCTGCCTTTCAAATGAAGAAATAAATCTTTTTTTCTAAAAAGGAAGAAGGATGAAAGGAAAAATAATTTATGTTGAACAACAAAAACAACTTATATGGCATAATAGCTTTCCTTATGTAGAGCTAGCCTTTATTTCTCTAGCGTCTTCAAATCTCCAGCTAATTTAGGTGTCAAAGTATCCGTTTAGACTTTGTGAAGACACTAGAATGCACTTTCTTCTATGGAAGATACATAGATAGGTAAAATTACAAAAAGAAGAACTTTCAGTTTAACAAAGGATTTGATGAGCAAATATTGGTATGCAAAGGCACAAGAAGGAATTTTAGTGTTAAATACATATCTCATAATTATGAAGTAGAACAATCTAATAAAGGAACCAGACAGCTTGGACATGCCTAAGGACACCACTTTTTCTTGACGTCTTCAGAACACTTGATAACCGCTCATACGGAGCAGCTCACATTTTGATGTGGACCAAACTGCATGTGATCATAAGGACAGCGTTGATTTGTCTTCCTTTTGTTGCAACAACAACCTTACTTTCCTTTTCTCTTACTCATATTTTCTTCAAATAATCTTCATCAGTGATTCTGTATTTGTTTTATCTTTGGCTTTGTTTTTCACAGCTGTCAGTTTTCTGAAAGCAAAACTGTATTTTTTTATTGACTTAGTCTGATTCTTTGTCTTTCTCTTTAAACAAAATCACCTAGTATATCAGTCTGGGCTACCTTTCATCTGTGTTCCTTTTACTACAGTGATGTCTTTCTTTTTCCATCCCTTTGATATTATGTAGTCTCCTGGATGAGTCCTGGCTTTGGAGTAAATAAAAATCAATTGCCTTGATGGTGACAAACCCAGCACTAGTCTTGCGTCCAGGTTCCCTCTTTTCTGTCAACTTTACACATTCATGAAGTGGTCAAATTCACAGACTCCAGTCTAAATGCTCCTCTTTAGATTGATGATTCTTTAAATCCATGCTGCCCTTCTTTAAGTGAAAAAGTATGTGCCATTTAAGTTCCTGATATTAATCAAGAAATTTCCAGATGTGCCCACTTTCTAGGTTGTGTAATCAATTTATCTGTACCTGGCTCTTAAACTTGTGAAATCTGTGGGCCACTTACTCAGGATTTTAGATCCTACATCATTTCCCACTCAGAACTGGAAATATGCATTTTAATAATAATAGCAGGATTTTTCTGAAAAAAGATTTCTATGCACAGACCATTTATAGTCTCGTAAGTCAGTGCTTTGATAATCTTTGACATAGAAAATATGATTTTATAAGCCAATCTCTTATCATATATCATATGCAAAGGATAAAATATACTCAAATGGTATTGTATACCCATTAGTGGTGTCCTATATGTTTTTATGAAATTATTCCCTTAGTTGAAAGTCTTCTCACATTCTTATGTATAATATCACAATGTATAAATGATTACTAGACTCATCATTGATTAATATACAAACACAAATTTAAATCTTCCTTTAAAGAGTGATTTTCATTGGATTGAGTGAAATATAAATAAATGTGATTTTCTTCATAGTATCAATCTTATTGCCCAGCACTTACAGAAAATATTTCTTAAAACTTCAGAAATATTTACCCATTACACATTTTAGGATGAAAAGTGATTTTGTTTCCCCTACACACCCACTCACACTGCTCATACTTGAGTAACTGCATAATGAACTCTGAGTTAATTTCTATTCTTCAAGATCTACACTGATTAAGGACTTTATTTTTGCATTCTGCTTTTAATTTTGTCTTAATTCCCAGATTCTTGATAAAATAAATTTGAATAATGAATTTATATTAACAGCTTTGCAATTAAATAATGCTCTTGGAAATCATTGAGATAAGTAACCTTGTATCAATACCAACTGTCTTGAAATCCTACTAAATGATTTTAATTTTTTATTAAAAAATTAAAAGCCTGGTATATGCTTGTTCTTCGCAGTAGCTCTTTATTGTTTCATTTAAATTTAGATCATGTTAAAGCTCAAACTAAGCCTAAATAATGCCTTGAAATCACTCAAATATTAGCGATAATGTGTCCTCTCCCCCATCCCCCCCACTTTGCACTTTTAGAGCTTGTTTCCTGAGCCCCTGTCCATACAGAGCCACTCTGTGCAATTCCTCAGAGCCCTGTGGGAGAAGACCCAGGCAGGCAGCGCCCATAGCTTTGAAACAGCCATGATGGAGTCCACATTTCCACAGCAAAAGGTAAAAATCATTTCTTTCCATGAACATTGATTTTCAGCCAAGATTCAAGATTCCCTTGAAGCAGCTTGCCATTTTCTTAACAGCACAATTTTTCTTCCTTTCTTTTCACTTCCTTTGTCATTATAAGAAAACTCTTATTAAGTAACGATTTTCATGGCAGACTTAGGACAGTGTGCTATTGGTAGACAAAGTCACTGCCTGAAGCCCAGGGACTGACCAGTACAGCTCCCTTGGAGCCACACCAAAACTGTAAGCACAGCAGGAAATAGCAGACATTTTACACAAGAAGTGATGCACTCGAGGCTTGGGAAGGCTCCAGGCTCTCTGTGTGTTCAAAAGGATGATGACACCATCCTGAACAAGAGAGGCCACAAAGGAGGCTGCCGGTAGTAGGGGAAAAAGACAAAACACTCCGGTTTGCATATTTTGGGTCTGAGCTGTCTGTGTGGATAACCAGGTGGTAATGGTGTTTGAAATTCTAGAAAGAAAGCCGTGACTGGAGATATGAATGTGGGAGCCAGAAGCCAGCACTTATTTCATAACAGTAGCCTGGATCACTAAAGTGGAATTTGTATTGAGAGTAGACAATGGTTACTGATCTCTTATGGTAACTATTACAATATTATCTGCTTTCCTCTTTTTCTCCTCATATTCAGAGATTCTGATAATTCTCATGCTACCTCCAAGAAAGCTCAATAGTAAGTATTGGTTGCTGACTAGGAAACAAAAGGTTGTGTAAGCATATGATCCTGGTGTCAGTCCTTCCTCTGTGACTGAGAAGGAGAACAAACAACACAACATTAAATTCGAAGTACAAACATGTAGCAAATGAACTAATCAAACACTTATAAAACTAACTGAATATCTCTAAAGTGTGGAAGAATTGAAACAGAACAACAAATGAGTGTGATTTATCAGAAATGTATTTTCTGATACACTAAAGACATATCCAACTATTGAATCACTGAGTTTTTTTGGCTTTGGTTTAAGAATTTGACATGCAGTATTAAAAATAAAGGAAATGCCACAACTGCATCAGTGAGAGTAAAATGGAATTCTTTGCACATTCATTCAAATTTTCTTCTGTTGCATCATGTTTAAAGACAATGTCTCAAATTCTTATAAATCTTTCATTGTGAATTGTATTTTGACCAGAGACAACTAGCAAATTAAAACTTGGCAGACTGCTTCAAGTCCTCAGAGATTAAAAAAATCTTGGCAACCAGTTTTATGCATGTTCTCAAGGATACTTATTCATATTTCTTCTATTTCATACCAATAAATATTCCCTCAGGGAAAATGAACTGTAAATGATTTTTTTGAAATTTTCAAACTTTTATCATTTGGGTTATTCCTGAGTGAAAAAAATTTTGATATCTGGATTGCACATTAGGCAGCAAAGTTATCTGCCCTGAATTTCTTAATCAAATTGATTTTCTCTTATTTTTTCTGTACACTACTTTTATTTTTTAGAAAGCTTTTATTTAATAAATATAAATTTCATAGGTACAGCTTTTGGAATATAGCAGTTCTTCCCCCTTATACCCGCCCTCCCTCCCCAACTCCCATCCCACCTCCTACTCCCTCTCCCATCCCATTCTTCATTGAGATTCATTTTTAATTATCTATTACAGAAGATCAACTCTATACTAAATAAAGATTTCAACAGTTTGCACCCACACAGACACACAAAGTATAAAGTACTGTTTGAAAACAAGTTTTACTGTTAATTCTCATAGTACAACTCATTAAGGACAGAGGTCCTACATGAGGAGCAAGTGCACAATGACTCCTATTGTTGATTTAACAATTGATAATCTTATTTATGATGTCAGTGATCACCCAAGGCTCCTGTCACGAGCTACCAAGGCTATGGAAGCCTCTTGAGTCCACAAACTCTGACATTATTTAGACAGGGCCATAATCAAAGTGGAAGTTCTCCCCTCCCTTCAGAGAAAAAGGTACCTCCTTCTTTGATGGCCCATTCTTTCCACGGGGATCTTACTCACAGAGATCTTTCATGTAGGTTATTTTTTTGCCACAGTGTCTTGGCTTTCCATGCCTGAAATGCTCTCATGGGCTTTTTAGCCAGATACGAATGCCTTAAGTGCTGATTCTGAGGCCAGAGTGCTGTTTAGGGCATTTGTCATTCTATGAGTTTGCTGTGTGGCCTGCTTCCCATGTTGGATCATCCTTTCCCTTTTAATTCTATCTATTGTTATTAGCAGACATTTGGTCTTATTTATATGATCCCTTTGTCATTTATTCCTATCTTTATGATAAGTTACGCACTTAAAATGATCACTTTAACTAGTAAGATGGCATTAGTACCTGCCAACTTAATAGGACTTGGAGTCCCATGGCAAGTTTTTAGCTTTACCCCTAGGTGTAAGTCTGTGGGAACGTGTGCCGAATTGACTGAATTTACCTTTAAAAATAACTATGAATGTAGTGCAAAGTCTTATTTCCACAATCTCTGCCAGTTTACTAGTCATCCTAAAGTAATAGACACATGTGTACCTGCTGCTATGATGAAGACTCGCTGCAGCCAATTACATTCAAGTGCACAAGGAAAAAGGAAGAAACCCCTGAGAGAAATGCCCGAGGGTCTAGAATTTAAACTTTGGGGGGGGGGTTTGTGGTTGAATGGTTGAAATGGTTGCTTTTTAATAGAATGCTTGTATTTTTAAAATTGGATTTATTTATTATTTTCATTTTATTTGAAATGTGGGGGGAGAAAGGGAGAGAGAGAGAGAGAGGGACTGTCCTGTCCCCTGATTCACTCTCCAAATGCCCACAATAGCCAGAATTGGGTCAAACCAGAAGCCAGGAACTCAATTTGGGTCTCCTAACTGGGTGACCAGGCCCTAAGTACTTGAGTGGACACCTCTGCCTCCAGGATGTGCATTAGCAGGCAGCTGCAATCCAGAGCAGAGTGAGGCTTCAACCCTGATACTCCGATATTGAATGGGAGCATCCCAAGGAGTGGCTTAGCCACTGCTCCAAATGCCCATCCCATAATCTTCAAATGTTAGAGCAGAAAATTATCACTGAGAAGTCCATTACAGTGCAAACTGCTTGAGGGCAAGGATTTCACCATGCTTACCATTGCACCAGTATCACACATTTCTTGGCACACAGTAATAGATATCAATGGAATAAACAGATGAATCTTGTCATTTTCCAGATGTTAAAATTGGAAGCAAAGAGACATGAAAGTCAGTGGCAGAGTTGGAGCTAGCACACATACCATGGTGACATCAGGGCTGTCACCAACACATCTAGTGTTCCTTTCCTTGGAGCACATGATATGTGAAGGGAAGGCTTAGCCGTGTAACTTGGCTTCAGCCAGTGAAATCTGAGAGGGGATGTGTGTCACTCCAGGGGAAACTTTTCAGAGCCAGGGTGTATTTCTCCACGTTCCCTCTATGCCCTTTCCACAGTGGCTGTGGAAACAAATGTTGATATTGAGTCGCCAGAAGATGCAGACAGCAGGGCCAGCACTGTGGCCCAGTAGGCTAAGCCACTGCCTGCAGTGCCAACATCCCATATGAGCTGGCTGCTCCACTTATTTTTTTTTTTAAGATTTATTTATTTTACTTGAAAGTCAGAGTTACAGAGAGAGAAGGAGAGGCAGAGAGAGAGAGGTCCTCCATCCACTGGTTCACTCCCCAGTTGACTACAACAGCCGGAGCTGCACCGATCTGAAGCCGGGAGCCAGGAGCTTCTTCCGGATCTCCCATGCAAGTGCAGGGGCCCAAGGACTTGGGCCATCCTCCATTGCCTTCCCAGGCCACAGCAGAGAGCTGGATCGGAAGTGGAGCAGCCAGGACTTGAACCAGTGCTCATATGGGATGCTAGCACTGCAGGCAGCAGCTTTACCCACTATGCCACAGCGCCGGCCCCATGGCTGCTCCATTTCTGATCCAGCTTTCTGCTATGGCCTAGAAAAGCCATGGAAGATGGCCCAAGTGCTTAGCATCCTGCTGCATGGGAGACCTGGAGGAAGCTCCAGGCTCCTGGCTTCAGATCAGCCCAGCTCTGCCTGTTGCAGCCATCTGGGGAGTGAACCAGCAGATAGAAGACCTTTTTCTCTGTCTCTCCCCCTCTCTGTCTGTAACTCTACCTCTCAAATAAATAAAGCTTTAAAAGAAAAAAAAAAAGATACAGATAGGCTGGAAATCTGAGCTTCCACGTGGATCTGCTCCTCTGAGAGCCACACTTTGCATGAAGAAGAAACAATCTTTCCTGTCGTTCTGTTGTTGTTGAAAAGCAAAGTTTTGGTATTCGTTACAGCAGCATAAGCTACCTTTCTTGATTCATATACCTGCCAGAGTAGAAAAGAATATCGGCTCTGAAGCCAGGTTGCCTGGGTTTAAAACCTGTCTGCCATGTATCAGGGCTATGGGCTTCAGCCCTGTGCTCCAGATATTTCATTATACGATGGAGATAATAGTAATCCCTACGACAGCTGTTTTGAGGATGGATTGAATGAGTTAATATGCATCAAGCTCTCAGAACAGCGACCACACACTGTGATCTCTCAACACACACAAGTTAGCATTATGATCCCTAGCGAGCATTCTCTCTCTCAAAACTAGCACAAACTCAAATCTCTCTTAGACATACTCATAGAGGTTCAAAGTGGAAACAGAGACTTCAACCTGAAGGACAATGTCTCGGGTTGTCATATTCTTAATGTGGTCAGATCAACATTATCAGAAAACACTACACAAATTTCATTTTTTTAATTAAATAATATATCTATTTGAGAGACTGAGAGAGAGAGAGGGAGAAAGCATGCCCTCCCAATTATAGGTTCACTCTCCAAATGCCTGCAGTGACACAGCCCTAGCCAAGCTGAAGCTAAGAGCCAAGAAAATTCAGGTCTGGTCTCCCATTTGGGTGACAGGAACCCAGTAACTTTGAGCCATCACTATTACCTCCCAAGGTCAGGAACCAGAGGCAGGAATTGAACCCAAGGACTCTGAAGTGTTTCC